GTCTGCTTGGCGAGATTTGCGCTGGAGAAAGGGAATTGGCGAGGTTTGCGCCAGCGAAACGGAAAAGTACCAAAATTTGTTACGTATATATAATGATGTTTTAAATACATGGATGTTTTTATCTCAATAAAATACGTTCAGAAATGCCTTGTTTTATACAAAGCTAATTTTATATTCAGAGATATTTAAAAGTTTTTTGGGTAAATGATTCAGTATTAGGTACTTTTCCGTTTCGCCGACGCAAATCTCGCCAAGCAGACTTTATTAGTGAAAACGCACAGTATACACATAAAAAATATTAACATATGTTAGTTCTAAGATATTTTTATTTGAAGGCATAAACATTTTAATATCGTTTAAAATTTTGTAAAAAGACATTAAGAATTAACTATGCTTTCATGGTACATATCAAGTGATCTCATCTCACGTAACTATGCTCAAAAATCTAATTCTCTCAGTAATTATCTGCAGTAATTTCAAGTAATTCTTAATTTGGATACAGCTTAAATGCAGAATTATTTCAATTTTTAAAAAGTTACTTAGAAATTATGCAAAACCGCAGTAATTTACTTCGCTAGTGCATTCTTATTAGAATTGATGAAGTTAACCCTTGACTTTGCCTTTTCTATATTTTCGCCTTCGGGTGAGCGGTGTGATTGCATCCTGCTTGACAAACTTACCGCAGATGGCCTTAGGGCATAAAATTGAACTTTATGGTAATAATTCTATGTAATTGTATGCCAGTATTGAAAGAAACAATCAATCTGATAAGAAATGGCTGCGACCTGTTTTGAAAATGAGGCGTAAAAGGTTACCAGTGAGGATATTCTGTTTGGCGACTTTATTGCTTGTGCCGTCAAAATGGAAAAGTACCCAGTATTATTTTAATTAATCTAAATTTTTGCTTTCAGTGATATTTGTTCATTAATTCATGTTCATTTTGTATGATAGGATTGTTATGTTTTCAATAAATTTATTACATTTATAATTGGTAATTTTTTAGCATTTGTTGCTGGTAAATCTTGCAGGAAATTTAATTGATCAGCCAATTGATATATGAATTAAAGTACATTAAAAATTTAGGGATACTCGGATAACCGGCACTTGTCAAACTTTCAATATAATCAAGTTTATATTAAAATAAAATGCTTATAAGACTGAAATTGTGTTCGGCAACTTGGGCGATACTCGCCATACAGTGGGAGGAGAGTTTAGGTTGCTAGTTTAGATCTTCACTACGCTAGGGAAAAGGGAAGGGATATTTTCTTTCTATATGTAAATACTTTGCTTTGGCTATCATGTGACTTTGCAGATGAAACGTCGTGCTGATCACTTAACTTTGTCAGCAGACGTGGTGCATACACTCATATGTTGTTTGTTGTTCCATATGATCATTTGCTATTTAATTATTTTATGAGAACAAAATATTATTATTTATTAGACTATTAAATATTAAAATCTATTAGACGTCTAAATACTATTAAAATCATAATTATTTAATTACCGGAGACGGGCTTCAGTTGCCATAAACTTTCGCTATACTAAAAAAATTTAGAAAATAAAATTACTATTAAAATTTAATGATTTAAAAATTAAATAATTAAGTATACCAAATTAGTTCATAATTATTTAAATAATATTAATAATTAATATTGGGCTCCCAGTTGCTGTTTACCTTGTAAATTATTTCTAATACTTAAGACTGATAAATTAATTACCCCTATAATTACAACAAAGTAGATAACATGTGGTCTTTTTCTAACTTATCGTTTGCTTGGGCACATTTTTTTAATTATTTAATATTTAAGTATATGGGTGTTATTTATTTATCTAGTTTTAATAAACAAATTAATTTCTGAATAAATTAATTGTACTCCTAATACGAATTACTTAGAATAAGAAAAGCACTCATGGGTTATTTGCTTAAGATGGTGGAAATCCGTTAGTCGAACTCCAAGACGAACTACCTGTGCGCAACAGTTTTACAGCTATCTCGCTAACAGACACTCTGTATCATACAACGAATTTTTTAATCCCTCCTAATCAAGTTTATATTGAAATAAAATGCTTATAAGACTGAAATGCTAATAAGTTAATGTAAAATATTAAAGAAACAATGTTCTGCTACTTTTCTATGTCAAGTATATTTCACTGATTATTTTAATTTGGGCAGTTTGGTGTATCAGTAAAAAATTTAAACTATTATACAAAACATGAGCAAAATTCTTTTACAGATAAACAAATAAAAGTTAATTAAATTTATATCATCAAATCTTTGAATAAGATTTATCTTCATAGATTTTTCTGCTGTGGGTTTACTCATATTAGTTTTTAATGGCAATGAATATAAGATATTGAAATTTTTGCAACAACCATACATGCAACCAAAATATATTCGTGAAATATATTGTTAGAAATCTTGTTTCCATCTGCAATTATGCAATTAAGGATTACATTTCTTTGTTTACCTACATGAAAACTATTTTCATATTTTAAGACGAAGGGAAAAAAATTCTGCTTCCATGCTAATAAATTCAAAAGAAGCTGGGTTTTGAAAACCTGTGAAAAAAACGGGATTTTTTTTTTTTTTTTTTTAAAAAAAAAAGTTTTTAGACAGATGTCTTATTTTGCAACTGCTATGTATTTCTAAGTCAAGGTTATTTCAATGAACGGTTACGGTTAAGCTGCACCGTACTATTTGCTTTGTGGAATCCAGTTTATTGCCGATTTAGTTATTAAATTCAAGATACCTTACCTTTTCATTCAGTTTATTTATAAACAACATTAAAGACACACATATTAAAAAAAAGGAACACTTTTATTGCACAGTCATCTATCAAATTAAATTTTTGCAAAAACTTTAATTATCAGAAAAAATCTGTTACTTATTAATGCAAAATTATGTTAACAAATAAAAATGTAGGTACTATTCGGTTTCGAGGGCCATAAAAAAATTGCAGTGAAAATGTATGCCTAAAAGCGACGAATCTAGCAAACGCGCCCATTTAACTGCGCACCAAATCTAGCATACGATTGCGTAAGTTTATATAGTTCTATATTTCTTAAGATGCCATTGAAATACTAGTTTAATTTTTAAATTTTTTATATTCTATGGATTTAACAATTTGGGAATTGCCCATGACAAAAAGTCGGCAATAAAATTTTGGGTAAAGTGCAGAATCACCTACTGCTTGACGCGTTTTTAAGAATTGCGCATACTCGGTATCCATGTGCACATCGGCCTATTTTCACTTGAAAAAAATCCTAGAATTGCACAAAAATGGCACTGCCGCACCCTTAACTTTATCTATGTACACATCGACCTATTTTCTCTTAAAAAGTAAAAGAAAATTGACAAAAATCCAATTGTTTTAACCCTTGTGAAAAGCGGCAAACAAATAAGTGGTCAATTCTGCACTTTAGAGAATATTTTCAAAGAAAAGGCATCATTCATTATAGAAAATTAGGTTTGAACAACCAACGAGATGAAATTATGCTTTAGCGATAAGTCGGTAGCGAAATAGTGATGCAGGCATCCATTCAGTTATGTTTAGCAATTTTTATATAAATTTTATTAATTTTATATAATTATTATAATTTTCTGAAATAGTTGTTTATTCTTATGCTTCCCATTCAGTCATGTTTAGGCTTTTTCATCTAAATTAACACATCAATCTTAAATAGTTATTTACTATTATACTTCCTTTCTTGCCGCAATTATTTTTGGCAGCATTGGCATCAACAATAGTTTGACGATTTTTTACGGCCCTCGAAACCGAATAGTACCAAAATGTATAATACATTTATATACACTTTTACTGTTTATGTTAGTAATTTTGATCAAACAAATTTTTCTACGAAGTATCGATTATTAACTGGGAATTGATTTTTCGCGAAATGACGTAGGCGCGTAACCCCACGAACTTTGACCTCTGAACCTACATTATTTTGGTTCAGTGCTCTGTGTGTAACACTTCAAAAAGATCACCTGCAAGCAAGTATTTTTTCAATTAAATTTTTATCTATTTTCATCTATAATTTGCATATTTGAATTGCTATTTTTATTTATATTAAAATTTTATTTCTGTAACTTAGGAATATTTGTAATTCATATTTAAGAAGTTAATATTTATTTCTGATTTTCTTCTGTTACTACTAAACCTTTATTCCTGTACGTTCCAGTGTTTTAGTTTGATATATTTTAGCTTAAATTTAACATTTAATTTAATATTTTATTTGATTTATCTAATTTATTTATTTGTGTAAATAATGTAAATGGAAATTTTATATAAAATGCCGACTTAAGGTTATTTAATATAGAGAGTAAAAATAAATCTATAGCAATCGGTTTAGTTCATCAAACATAAAATGTAATGTGTGAAATGAAGTTTTATTTTTTAAAAAATTGTATATTCATGTATATTTGATCTTTTAAAATTTTTAACGTTACTTGCATGATAAATATTCCATTTGCATGATCTTTACTGCATTTATATGAAGACCATATTTCCAAACATATTTAACTATTATTATTTATAATAGTAGAAATTAATGGTCAATTAAAAAGAGAAGTATAAACGGTAATAATGTTGGAGTTATATATATCGTAATCCAAAATACTAAGGTGAAAAAAAGTATGTAGATTAACTTAACCACATCAATAACTAAATTAGTTCTATGTGCATTGTTTACCTTTTTTAATGCAAACACATTACTGTATTTAGCCTCAGGCAATTTTTGCCTAGCACGGGTTTCTCCCCAATATCGTTGACGTCATTTCCCTCTTGGCGTCAAAAAAAATCCTTCAGAGGATTTTGCGATTTTCGCCGATGCAAGATGACTGGGAAAATTGCGCCAAATGCCGGTTATCTGAGTCTTCCCAAGAATTCTGTGACATTAATTCATTATAAAATATTTCATTGCACATTTGTAAATCTTGGAATTTTTTTATTTCTTACATTTATATGTATTTTGCCATTAAAATATTGAATCAATTATAGGCTGTAGCAGCTGCAAGGCCTCTAATTACAGTGTATAATGAGAAAAATGAACCATCTGGTGTTCAAGTGCACTTACCAGCAGTGTACAAAGCTCCTATCCGACCAGATATAGTTAATTTTGTACATATGAATATGGCTAAAAATAGAAGACATCCTTACGCAGTATCAAAGGAAGCTGGTAAGATTTATTTTAATAATATTCTTAGCTCTATTTCAGTACAAGGTAAAACTGTATTTGAGAGTGTAGCAGTGAAAGTTTGTTGACTGGGCTGATAGTCTGATGAGATTACTTTTTTATTAAAAGTTTTATATGTCAGATCATTTGTGCTGCTTTGAAAAGTAGGGTGCTGAAATGCAAGGGGCACAGCAGCAAATAGTTAAGATTCCTAGAGAACTTCAGGAAACTTTTGGACTAAATTTACTGTAGGCATTGATTGTTTATGCTTTTATATTAATTATTCTCGTAGTAATCCTAACCATGGATTATCTTTCTTTTTACCCTTACTAACTCTGGTTCTTTTCTTTTACTGTGACCAGATTCAGAAATGTATGTATGTACATACATGTTTTAGCTGAGTTAACTCAGCAGACAGAATATATACACAGTCCAGTCACATTAATGTGACCATAAATCGCTCCGTTTCTGTCAAAATCCAGAATAACCACCTTTCGCACAGTAGACCGCTGTGAGTGCAGAAGTCTCACAGAGAGAGTCAATAGGTTCTTGAAGGTTTATTTTGGATGTGAGCCAGCCGACTCATTGCTGGGCCAGCTGCGCTAGTTACACTGTTGGGATCCATGGCACGAAAACGCAATCGAGGTGTCCCCTCAGACTTTTTATTTGGTTTAAGTTTGGGGATTTTGCTGGCCAAGGGAGTATTGTAACTCATCCTGGTGCTATTGCCGCGCACATAACGACGAGCTGTATAAATTCGCAGTCCGCTGGTTATGCCATCATTCTGAGTAAACAATCGCGTAGGGGTGCCATGGTCCGTAAGGACAGATCGTATTTCGTTGATCATCGTGCCTTTCACATGATGAGGACCCAAACTACACTCCTCCTCCGATTGTACGTTTCCGAAATTGGGCATGGTGTTGCTTTCCAACGTTAGCGTATACCAACGGCCACGTCTGATTCAGCATAAAACGGATCCTGGAAATCTCATCTATCCCCACTCAGTGGACGTCCATTGTCTTGATGGCGTGCAAATTCCAGACTTCGTTATCGATAGGGCAATCAGGGTAGGTTGCGTAGGTGTCAGTCACAAGGATGAGCTTCAGTCAGCATCGGCCGATGAGCTGCAGTTAGTGCAGCAGACGCCTATTTCCTTGTGTTCGACTAGGTTGCGGTCTTCCCCGACGTATCTCAAGGGCGTCTTTCAATCTGTATCGAGGCCTGGGTCCCACAGTTGCCACATCTCTGTTTTAGAATAGTGTGATTTTGCCATGCATGGTATTACTTTTTACCACGGCAGCGGGAACAGTTTACAAAATTAGCCTTCAGAAATGCCTCCATTCTTGGCCGAAAAAGCCCAATCGTGCCCTTTGGACCTCAGAGAATTGTTCCGTTTGCATTACGTCAACGATACATGTTTCTGATTCGCTCGAACACTCTTCATATACGCTCCACTGCTATGTGCTTCCGCATGCCTTCTGTGATTGGTTATTTTCCGTTGACGCCGAAAGTAGGTGATGGTCACATTAATGTGACTGGACTGTGTATTAACTTTTTCCTATGGGCTGTAGATGCGAAGGTTTAGAAAAGATTTATTGGACCTACAATTCAGAAAAAAGGGGACAAAATGAAGTTTTCATGGTATTAACACATAGTGGATGTGTTTGAAGGAGGATTTGGGATGAATTTCTTAACCTTTGAAGAATTTTGGGGAGAACAATGAAAACAAAATTATTTGAATCTTCTCCTTTTCATCCAAGAAGTCTTTCTCTTAACATATTTATCTTCCTTTTATTTTTTCTTTCAACTAGACACAAGTATTGAAGCAAGAAAAGGAAATTAAAAACCAACAATTTATTAAAAAAATTCATCTTGTATGTCTCGGTGCACCACACATACCTCAGTACCTGCCCTAAATTCTAAAATTTTTGCCATCCCTAGATATTGTTGCTTTACTAAATTCTAAGAATTCTGCCACATTGGCTCTGCATCGAGCTCATATTTATCTTCAATACTCATAATATTAAAGAAATAGCAATTTCTTGTATACATTCTAAGTACAAGCTATTCTTTAGAATAACAGAAGGCTTCAGAAATTGGGAAATTCTAAAATGAAGAGGAAATTCATTGCAAAGAAATTGGTTTCATAAAGAGAGAATTTTATTCTTCAAAGTTACGTTGTTGAAACATTAACAAACTGTGAGAGGACAGTGGACTACTGGGAGCATTCACTTATTTAATTGAAACAAAGAGCAAAAAAGATGGGAAAGGAAAGAAAACCGATGTTAATTAACTAAAATATCTGGAGAATTTTTAAATGACCCAGATATTTGGTTGTTTGTTGTTGCTACAAAACAAATATTTCATGGCTTTTAATGTGTAATTATGCGAAAACAATTTTAGAATCAATATCATAAATTATAACTGCTGTAAAAAATGTTCGTAGAGCTTTTTTAATTGATATTTCATAGAAATTTAAAAAAGTGTAACCGTGTAAATCAATCATGACTAAGAATATCTAGATAATAATTTAATTATTGGTTACTGTTTTACTTTAAAAAAAGTTATCTCTACATCTTAACAGTAGTTCTTGGCTTTCCTTAACCCATATATAGATATAAGTTCCAACACAAACATCTAAAAATTAACATAAAACTTTATCCTTACATCTAATGAGACTTAAAATAATACAAACAACCTATCACATCTGGTGCTTCAATAGCTTATTGTAATTTCATATTAAATACTGTATATTTACTGTGTTACAAACTGGGCAAATCTACACTAACTGGGTCAGATAAAGTGCAGAACACTAACGAAGCATATCAGTGTCACATGTTCACATCTGTCCTGATGAGTGGCTCTCTGTCTGTAAGCAGCTGGAGGCAACAATCCAGCTTCTGTTAAGAGTCATGTTGATTATTATTTTTATTTCTCAATTTAACCTATGTTAGGTATAAAATCTGCATAAACCTTTAGACTGAGTGAGTTTGTGATGAAATGAAGCTATAAGACTTGTATAAAGCTAACTGCTGGTAAAATTTAATGAAAAAATAACTAATTTTCTTTAAAATATATGGAACTGTTATAAGTTTAAAATATAAATGTAAAGCTAACTGCTAGTAAAATTTAAATAAAAAGTCACTAATTTTCTTTAAAATATATAGAACTGTTATGAGTGTAAAATATAAATGTTTCAAGAAATTTTATAATTTAATGCTAATGATTTGAAATTGTAAAGTTGATTTTATTCTTGAATTTGTTTTATGATGAAGTTAAATGTTAGATTAGGTTTAATAATAATGCATCCTAGTCAGTTTTATTTTATTATTCTAAAATAGAAAAGTTTGGATATAGATAATTGATTTAGTTTATTCAGTTTATTTATACTTATAGGTCGTCAATTTTTTCATTGATGGCCCTTAAAAGTACTTAATTTCCATGTGCAGAAATGTGTATGAACCCTGCATATAATCTGTTTATCAGCTTTTAAAAATTAAAAAAAATTCTATCTTGGTAAATAATTACTAGTGCTGTTTGTAGTTTGTTTTAATTAAGCATTCTTATGTTAATTGTATCTTAAAAGAAGTCAAGGATATTAATTCAACTATATTTGCAGTGAAAAAGCATTTTTTTTATCTCTGCATGCATATTTTGATGATGTCATGCTCTAAATTTCTGAATCATTCTGGAAAAAAAAAAAAAAAAAACTGAGGAACAAAACACACTGTTTGAATGCAAGTAAAAGTATTATTTCCATAGTCATTTGGTGTACTAACCTTTCATTCTTTACATTTAAATCATGTTAAAATTGTAGCTACTTTCCAAAAACCATCAGCAGCATTTGAAGTAATTTCTCATTTTAAAATAGATTGTCTTATATAAACTAATTTGCTAAAAATAATTCTTTTTCAGGTCATCAAACATCCGCAGAGTCATGGGGTACTGGTCGAGCTGTTGCTCGTATTCCAAGAGTTCGAGGAGGTGGAACTCATCGTTCTGGACAGGGTGCTTTTGGAAATATGTGTCGTGGAGGACGTATGTTTGCTCCTACTAAAACCTGGCGTAGATGGCATCGCAAAATAAATGTCAACCAACGGCGTTATGCTATATGTTCTGCAATTGCTGCAACTGGAGTCCCAGCTTTGGTTATGTCTAAAGGTATTCTCCGAGTCAGATTAAAAAAAAAAAATTAGTCATTTTGAAATTATAATTATTAGCCATTTGTGATCTAAAACAATTGCCTTTAAAAAATATGGATTTTTGATTTTTTATCATCATTCAAATTATGGAATTGATCATAAATGCTGAGCAAAAGTGAATTTCAGTTTTTATGAATTGCATATTTTATGTCCTAAAATGTGCATTTCAATATCACCTGTTATTTCTAATCATAGGACATAAAATTGAAGAAATACCTGAAGTACCATTGGTAATAAGCGATAAGATTCAAGAATTCACAAAGACTAAACAAGCTGTTCAATTTTTACGTAAAGTAAAAGCTTGGTCTGATATCCAGAAAGTAAGTATACTGATAAATATTAGTTTTCTAAAAAGTATTGCTGTACTTTATAAAGCAGGTCATGATTCCTTTAGATATAAATGTACACTGCGGCAAAAAAAAAGTGACAGTTCTAGATTTTCCTTGCGTTTTCCATGTCTCAAAAGCGGGACTTTGGATCTATATATAGCTGTGTTCTAATATTGACACAAAATTGGGCTTTTTCTGAAATAACGTACCAATTTTTTCCATATTTTGATTCTACAACTCAAATTATGTCTAGATGTTAAATTTAGTAGTTTTTGGTGAGAAATTTATGGAGAAATTTTTTAATTTGTGTTTTTTTTGTTTTTTTTTTTTTTTTTTTTTTTTTTTTTTTTACAGTTTGCACCAAAAAATTTGGCAAACTTCTTTTTAATTTATAGCAAACCTATTTTCCTTTCTTTTTTCTTCATTGTCCTGAGCGGATTAAAGTCATTGTTCATACTTTAAAATATTTTAACAAGTGCGTAAACAACATTTTGGTATATCGCTTATAAATTCACCAAATTTCAAAAATGTAAATTCACATATGTCTTAGGAAATTTTGAATAAAATTTTTTGCCGGTATGCTTAGAAATACATCTACCCTAAGATTATTTAAAAACTTTTATAGGTTATAATTCAAAATTTTTTGAAAAATTTATAAAAAAATTTTTAATAAATAAAAAAATAAGCGAAGTTTATTTGGAATTAACCTAAATTTTAAAATATAAAAGGAAGAATCAAATTTCCTTTATATAATTTTGCAAGTGTGGAGGGGTTAAGTTATTTGTAATAAATTAAAATATGATGATGCTTTTTGGGTTTTTGCACAGTTGAATTTCAGTTGAGTTTTGTGCTAAAACTGATCAGACATTGTGCTACATAAATTATCCTATCTGAACCATGGTCAGACCTAAAACTTTGTGGTCTTGCACACTGATAGAACTGGAACATATATACCTTTTGAATTTCAGAAAAAGTTATGATGCATTGTAATAAAGAGGTAGCTTTAGAATTAAAGTAAGTTATTAATATCTTTTGTACAGTTTTAATTCTTCATAATCATTAATTTCAGAATATGAAGAATGAGATGCATATGGCAAAAATCAGTACTAAAAATTTTTTTAATGAATCCATATTTAATAGAATCAGATTGGTAATTTGTTGATTGTGGGGAGGGAACAATATCGGTTTTTTTTTTGCTTTCTTATCTTGAAATAATTTTTACTTTTAAAAAAGTGCTGGAAACTAGAATGTCTCCTATATATATATACGGAGTTATCAACTCTCCCGATTTTTGACTGCTCTCCTGATAACCCGATTTACAATATATTTCTCCCTACTTTTTCTTATTCTTAAAATTTCTCACTGACTTGGCTTTAAACTTCGTTCTGAAAGCAATTGAATTTTCTCTAGATTATATTAAAACAAAACCTTGCGAATTAAATGAAAATTTTGCTCTGTAAGTGAGAGCATATGTATCCAGAAACGTCGTTCTCCAGATCTTCAATGAGCATCGAGCTCCACTGTGTGTCATCTGGCATATATTAGCCAGTGAGCACAAAACAAGATCAAGGCTGCTATTTGGATGTTCTTTAGTTATTTAGAAATTATCATCTTTTGTTATGTCTGTGAGAAAGGTGAAATACTCGTATGCGTTTCAAAAATCGTACACAGTTGACTTTTCTTCCATTATTTCCTCAAGGAAATGTAATAAATTTGCAGTGTGTACAGTCTGTCCTTGCAATTTTTCGATATTTCTCAAACATGTATGTGCGTACACAAAACCACAACATGTATGTGCGTACACAAACTTGTTTGAAGAAAACTAAAAATTAAATTTTTCTTCAGGACCAAAAAGTTATTAATGCAGAATGTCTAACCTGCCACTGAATGCATCAGATACGCTGCAGCTTTATTTAGAAAAATGTTTCCCGGTAGTAACATTGCTAAGAAATACTCAAATGCAAGGACCAAAACAGGCAATTGTTAAATAAATGAGTTTGAAAAATAAATATTCAGTTATTGATTGCATTAAAACAGCTCCGTTCTGCCTTTCTACGGATGGAAGCAATAATACCGATTCAAAACTGTATCCAATTGTTGTTTCTTTTTTTAATATAGAGTCTTCAGAAATTGAGTGCAGTTTACTTTCTGTTCTCACTTGAGAATGACATTCGACAGGCTTTAATAAAGCACAGCTAATTATTAAAACTTTAAAAGAAAATGCAGTCCCTTTGGATAATTGCTTAGCACTTGGTGCCGAAAATGCACCAGTAATGGTAGGCTGGTATTGCAGGCATTTTAAGAAAGGAAAACTCAGTAGGCTGTTGTTGCAGGCATTTTAAGAAAGGAAAACTCGGTAGGCTGTTGTTGCAGGCATTTTAAGAAAGGAAAACTCAGATTTGCAGATTGTGAGGTGCACCTGTCACTTCTTAAATTTAGCAGCTGAAAAAGGTGCAGGTTCTTTACCAATAAATGTGGATGAACACATTATTGATAATTATTATTATCTTGAAAGGAGTTAAAAAAGGAAGGAAAAATTGAAACAGTTCTAACAGCTGCATAATAAAGAAATGAGAAAAATTTTGGAACGTGTGTACACACTGGCTGTCTTTAAAGAAATGCTTTGTCTAGAATCCACGATCAATGGAACCCACTTCTTCCATTTTTTAAAGAAGTAAATGCTTCGAGAGTTAAGATAAAAGGCTCTGTAGTTAACACTTCCATTGTTAAAAATAGGTTTGAGAAAAATAAAGTAGTTTCTGCACCATTCAGCAAATCAACTGGCAGTTCTCAAAATAATACTGTAAAATATAATCGTAAAACTGATACAAATTTTTTTGAAAATAAAAAAATTGCTCAACACACGAAACATTTTCTGATTACCGTAAGTTTATCTTGTGGAGAACGAATATTTGTTTTTCTTCGGACTTTAACCCTTTGACGCGCGCTATATTATTTTTATAATTTTTTTTACTAAAAACACTAGAAATCGAATATTGTGATCCTAGAGACATAATATATGAATTAAAAAAACTCGCCCATTAAACTGTGGATGGTGGTTTCGCTGTGAAACCAGTGCGCATCTAGGACTTTGAAACTTACTGAGTTAGTAGAAGAAAAAAAACTTACCTTTTTCCATACGCTTTTCCAGTGAATGACGAAATTTGCGAATAAAAAAAAAACAACTGCATTTAAAAATTGCATCAAATGTAAATTTTTTACTTTATTTTACAAAGCAAATCATCAGAAAAAATTATAATTTATGTAATTTTTCTGCAGCAGTGAAAACATGAGAACATACATAATAAGGAAATTGGGATAAATAGATAAAAAAAACTCAATAGAGTATTAAAAAAACACTGATTTTTTTTAAATGTCAAAGAACTAAGTTATTTTTTATGAAACTGCTCAAAGCATGTTTTATCTTTTTGGTACATGCGTAAGCCAACATTGCACATTTCGCTCATGTATCTTGTTCTATGAGGTTTCTTCCTTGTGCTACAAAATGTACACCACTGGGATTTGCATTTTACTGACTATGTCTTGCCGTTCTTAGTTGTTTTCATCTGGCACATAAAATTTACGGTTTTTTTTATGTTGATAGGTAGCTGATCTTTTTCGCTTTGGTACGATCCTTCGTTTCCCATTCGTATCATATTACTGATTTATTCATTCTGAAAGACTTGAGTATTTTCAAAAACTGGGTCACTTTCTGGAAGCATCGGTATATAATGAAGGCGTTAAATGGTGACATCAATAAATGAAAGAAGATTCGATGCACCATTTCTTACTTTTCTTCAATTTCATATAAGCTTTTTAGTTGGTCAAAATAGTCCACATATCCCATATTTTTTATTATAATCTATAATTGCCTTTGGACATTGTATCTGAACTTTCTGTCCAGTTTTTTCTTTCCTTTCTGCATTAGATGGATTAATGGGATCAACTAGGCTAGATAAATTGTCTTTGCAATTTAGACATGTTATTTTGTCATCACTTACTGACCAAGCCTCTAGGGGAATGTGAGCATTGTAACGCAATGCTGTAGAGGCGGTGGTCTCACCCTGATACAACAAAGGAAATACCATAAATATACACAGGTTGTTTATATTTGCAGTTTAATTATTGCTGTATTTTTATTGTTTATGATAGAAATAATCATGTGCAATTAAAAAATTTTGAAATTTTAAGTTATTAATATAAATAAAATTAAGTTAATTTGTCTCACTGAAAATGAATTTTAAAAGGCATCCGATTTAAAATACTAAGACCTAAAAAATGTATAGTTCTGCAGTAATTTTGCGTTGTTTATACATAAAAGATAATTAATCAATTGGTTTTCACTCGGTTTGGAAACAAGAGCGGGAAAAATTTCAAAAATTTGTGGTTTCAAGGCACAGCCACCGCGCATCAAAGGGTTAACAAAGCTGCTTTTTTTTTTTTTTTTTTTTTTTTTTTTTTAACTATTCATTTTGCCATTATTTGATGTTCTTAACACAGTTCAACAAAGCAGAATTCCATTAATTCATGTTTTGCAATCAATGATTTATGATCTATTTAAAGACATTTTATCAAAGTTTGTAAAACCATTCTGTGTTTTGCCTTGTAATTCTATACATGATGTGATTTATGGTGAAATAGAAAATCAGAAGAAAGATGAAGATTTGGTAATAGAAGCTGCAACTACAAAAGTTAGTGGAAGAACCTTCAGAAGAAAGCAAAAATAAGTTTTATTTTCATGTTAGAAGTTACCTTTGTTGAGTATGTGATTATATACTACATAAATTTCCAGTCAACGATGAAGTGATTTTGCATGCTAAAGTTGCTGATGTTACTGCTCTAGCAAATGCATATTTTTCTGAAATAAGGTACTTTTTGAACAGATTTCCTGTGTTACTTCATTTAGCCATGAAAGATGTTGATGTTGCCACTGATAATATTGCAGTCATAATTTTGCAGTTTACAATTAGAAAATCAAGATTATGAAGTTT